TTCAGATTGAAAAATATTTCTATAAAAAATTTTCTATGGGGCTGGAGAGATGGCTCATTGGTTAAGAACACTGGTTGTTCTTGCAGAAGACTCGGGTTCGAATCCAAGCACCCACATGGCAGCTAACAACTGTCTGTAACTCCAGTTCCAGCGGATCTGACAGCCACTTCTGTCCTCCGCAGGCATTGCACGACACAAGTGCACTTACCTACATGCAGGCAATACACTCATACATATTGTTCTGGTTTGTTCTCTTCATTGCTGTGACAAAACACTCTGAGCAATACCAACTTGGGGAGGAAAGGGTTTATTCAGCTTACATCTTTCAGGTTGCAGTTCATCAGGGAGCCCAAGGTAGGAACTCAGGGCAGGAACCTGGAAGCAGGAGCTGGAGCACAGGCCATGGAGGAACACTGCTTACTGGCTTGCTCCCCTGGCCCCTGCTCAGCCTGCTTTCTTATGCAACACAGGCCCACCTGCCCAGGAGTGGCACCACCCACAGTGGGCTGGGCCCTCCCACATCACTCATCAAGAAGATGCCCCTCAGACATGGCCACAGGCCAGTCCAATAGAGGCAATTCCCCAACTGAGGCTCCCTCAACCCAGGTGTGTCAAGTTGACACGAAAGCTATCCAGTACACACATAAAATAAAAATAATAAAATTTAAAGAAATTTCTTCTATGAACATGAAAAAAATAGATGAAATCAATATTTTAAAAATAATTGGGAAAGAAATATAATCTTAAGAACAAAGCCTGACTGAGACATAAAGGAAGAGAAAACTTAAAACTTCTAGCATCTATAAATATAGATACATAAATAAAAGTGCGGATCAAATATAGTCAGCATCCTTTAAATTTTTTTTTGTAGTAACTAAAATTTACCTCAGGAATGCAGAACTAAGAAGAAATACAAGAAAATTTAAAAATATAGCATATTACTACATTAAAAGAGAAAAACTTCCAACCAAAGAGATTAATCATTTGATAAAGTTCAATCCTCTCTGAGGACAAACAATCTTATCAAGGTAGAGAAAGATGGTGAATTCAGTATCTTCATAAAGAGATCTTAGAATAGAATGAATAAATTTTGCAAAGTTACAGAATATAAAAAAAATAAAAATCAGTTTTACTATATAGGAATAGGAGAGTATTTGAAAAAAATCTAAATAGCTACCCAATATAAAATAACTACCAAAAATACTATACTAGTTACTTTTCTATTGCTGTGAAAAAACACCATGACCAAGGCAACTTAAGAAGAGTTTATTTGGCTCACGGTTCCAGAGGGATAAGAGTCTATCACGGTGGGGCAGGCATGGCAAGAGGCAGCCAGAGTAAACAACTAAACTTTAAGCAGGTTCAGGAAGCAGAGAGAGGCACATTGGAAGTACACATGGCTATATACTCTCAAAGTCAGCCCCCAGTGATGTGCTTCCTTATGCTGGCCACACCATGACCCACTCCAAACAGCACCACCAAATGGAGAGGGAATGTTCAAAAGCTTGGAGCCTATGGGAGACATTTTCATTCAAAGTACCATAAATACTAAGGAATACATTTAACCAAATGGGTGAAAGAGCTCTACAACAAAAACTATATATAACATAGATGAAAGAATTGAAGGGCACAAACAAATGGAAAGACACCTCATTTCCTGGCTTGGAGGATTCATTATTGTTAAAATGTCCATACTACTAGAGCTGGGCATGGTGGTACATGCCTTTAGTCCCAGCACTTGGGAGGCAGAGGCAGGCGGATCTCTGAGTTCAAGGCCAGCCTGATCTATACAGTGAGTTCCAGGCCAGCTGGGGCTACAGAGAGAGACCCTGTCTCAAAAAAAGACCCCCCCCAATCAAATATAATCTTCATCAAAATATAAATGACATTCCTCACAGATGTGGGGGAAAAAAACCCACATAAAATTCATATCAAACCACATATGACTCCAAATAGCTAAAGCTATCTTGAACAAAAAGAACAGAATGCATACTACTTGATTTCAAGATGACTAAAAAGCCAGAGTAATTAAAACAGCAGATTACTGAAACACACATAAAAGAAACACACAAAAATCAATGGAATAGAATGGAAAGACTAGGAATAAATCCACATGGATTTAAGACTCAACAGACGCTTGACAAAGGTGCTTAGAACACACACTTAAGAAAAGAGAGTGTTTTCAAGAAATGGCATGGGAAAAGTTGGACATACACATACAGAAGAATGAAATATAACCTTTATTCAAAAATCAACTCAATATGGATCACAGACTTAGAAACGTAAGACCCCACAAACCATGAAACTGACATAAACATAGGGGATCAGCAGTTTTGTTTTTTTAAATAACATTCTAAACACAGGAAACAAAGGCAAAAATAGACAAATACTCTTGTGCACTACAGGAAATGAGTAAATAAAATCTGTAAGTTGGGAGCACATATTTTCAAATTATGTCTGATAAGTAGTTAATATCCAGAATGTACAAGGAATCCAAACAGCTCAATATAAAAACAGCCAAACAAAAATAGTAACAATAATTAAAAGTGGGTAAGAGACCTGAGCAGACCTTTTTCAAAAGAAAATATACAAATGGCCAGTAGGTATCTGAAAAATGTTCAACATCATTAATAGTCAAAGAAATGCAAATGGAAACAAATAACAAGCTCTTTGGGAACCCTTACTATATTGTATGACTAGAAGAATGTTTAACTTTATTTTTTTTTGCATTAATGCCCTTCATTAAGAAAAAAGTTGTATGCAAATCAAAAAACTATAATGAATATTACTTTAGTTCAGTTAGCATGGCTATGATCAAAAAAGACAAACGACAAGTGATGGCGAGGATGTGGAGCAAAGCAAACCTTTGCACACTGTTGGAGGGAATAGAAGTTACTACAGTTTATGTGAAAACAGTGTTAAGGTTCCTCAAATCGTTAAACTATAACTACTATATGACTCAGCAATTCCATTAATGAGTATTCCAAAGATATGAAATCAGCATACCAGAGACATCTGTACAGGCATGTTTATTGAAGCATATTCACAGAATCCAAGTAGAAGCAGAAATAAACTGAGTATCAATCAATGAATAAAGAAAAATCTCAACAATTCTCTCCCCTCTTCCATCTGCCACACACTGCAATGCTATTAAACCACACAAAAGAATCAAACCCTGTTACTACTAGTGTTTGAAAACCTACCTTCTCCTTGGGAGGCCTAGTCTACATTTGGAAAAGTAAGAAAATATTAATTTACAAATATAGGTTCTTATTCTTACCTCCTAAGATCTTTTTTTTTTTTTTGAGATAGTCTCCCTGTAGCCCCAGCTGTCCTGGAACTCACTATGTAGACCAGGCTGGCCTTGAACTCACAGAGATCTGCCTGCCTCTGCCTCCCAAATGCTGGGATTAAAGGCATGCATCACCATGTCCAGCCTAGGCTATTTTAGAAATTTATCATAATATTCCTTACCTATACTCATAGGGCACTTCCCTCTTTAGTAGCTATATTTCTGTTAATAATTAATGAATGTAATTCAGTTGTGATAGGAAAATGTGCAAACATGGATGCACTCATCTTTAGGAACATGAAAAAAAATCATAGAAATTATTATTATTATTATTATTATTATTATTTTGTCTTTTTGAGACAGGGTCTTTCTGTAGCCGCAGCTGTTCTGGAACTCACTATGTAGACCACGCTGGCCTCAAACTCACAGAGATCCGCCTACCTCTGCCTCCTGAGCTGGGACTAAAGGCGTGCGCCACCACACCCAGCTTCATTTATTATTTTTATGTGTATGAATGTATTGCATGCATGTGGGTAGGTGAGCCCATGTTGTCCAATGCCTGCAGAAGTCAGAAGAGGGCATCAGATCCCTGAAACTGGAGTTACAGAAGGCTGTTAGCCATCATGTGGTGCTGGGAATCGAACCCAGGTCTTCTGCAAGAGCAGTCAATGCTCTCAACTGCTGAGCCATCTCTCCAGTCCCCTATGCAAAAAAAAAATCTTGCAAAAACATAATTGAAAACAATATAATTATAAAAATTATTAACATGTCAAGTAAAATTTGAAATGTTTTATGTTTAACTAGTTATCACCAAAATAATGCATACATATAAATGGAAATTCAATTTCTTTTTTTTTTTTTTTGGTCTGAGACAGGGTCTCCCTGTAGCCCCAGCTGACCTGGAACTCACTATGTAGACCAGGCTGGCCTTGAACTCATAGAGATCTACCTGCCTCTGCCTCCCAAGTGCTGGGATTAAAGGTGTGTGCCACCATGCCCAGCCCAACTGAAATTCAATTTCTAAAAAATAATTAAGATAATGTGGTAATACTGGAATCTCTGGAACACATGAATTGAAAATGGCAACTATGTTGACATTATTTGTAAGTTATGTTTAATAGAAGGGCAATTTTGGAAAACAAAATGGCATAGTTTTCCAAACATTATTTCCTTTGTTATGAACAAATAAGCTCCTATTATATTAACAACTCTTAACCATTTCTCTATTTTAAAAATTCTTCCTTTGATTCTGTAATCTCTTATTATATAACAAGTTGATGTATTACCAAACAGTATGATTACATAGAAAAATAAAACAAAACTTGTCACATGGAGGAATATGTCAAAACTATCTTCCAAATTATAATATCAAAGGAAACATGGAGGTCTTGTGAAATAGCCATGTGAATGCAATCGTATATACTAGCTACATTTTGGGGTTTTTTTTTTTTTTTTTTGGTCTTTTTGAGACAGAGTCTCCCTGTAACCCCACCTCGCCTGGAACTTGCTATGTAGACCAGGCTGGCCTTGAACTCACATCTTGCTATGTAGATCTGCCTGCCTCTGCTGGGATGAAAGACATGCACTACCACCCCGGCTATACTAGCTACATTAAAAGAACATAAATGACAATATTAAGAGCAGTAATGACAGTAGGATGTATTATCATCTGTCTTGTAGAATTTACAAACTATGTGCTAACACATACCAGGTCTGTCTTTGGAGGATCTGCACAGTCAGCAGAGAAGTATGGCGGCGTGTTTCGGACTCCACTGTTCTCAGAAGTTGGCTTTGGAGGCTGAGCATGCTGTCTGTATGTTGCACTTTTAGGAGTCCAGCAAAACAGGTTGACCGACTCTCGTACACAGCGTTCAATATCAATTTCTATACAGAAAATAAGCAAAAAGGAAGTTCATGAAAATTGGATTGCATTGTTAGTATAAAAACATCCTGGGGCTGGAGAGATGGCTCAGTGGTTAGGAGCATTGGTTGCTCTTGCAGAGGACCTGGGTTCGATTCCTAGCACCTATGTGGTGGCTAACAACCATGGGTAACTCCAGATCCAGGGGATCTGACACCCTCTTCTGACCTCTGAGGGCATTGTATGACCTGGGAGCACTTACATACATACAGGCAATACACTCAGACATGTCATAAAATAAAAATAATAAAAAAATCATTCTTAAATGTGTATATGCACATATGACTAAGATAAAAACTAAATAGAAAAGATCCAAGCAAAAATGATGCCTGTGGTATTAATCAGCACACTAATAACTGGAGGGGTAGGGAATATTCGGTATTATATGCACATCTATATATAATGTCTTTATGGGTGGGTTCTATTTGACATTATTTATATATGAATATATAAGGCAAATTTGTGTATATTTCAATATATTATTTAAATACCATGAAATAGCTCATTTAATAATAGGATGTTGGGGCTGGAGTGATGGCTCAGCAGTTAAGAGCACTACCTGCGTTTGCAGAGGATCACACTTTGGTTCCTAGCACCCATGTTGGCAGCTCATGGCCACCTGTAATTCCACCTCCATAATCGGAAGTATTTACTCTGCAAGGTTTTCCCCTTTGCAAAGTATAACGGAGGTGGTAGAAGGAGGCTGGGACGTGGAATAGGTAGAAGATTAAGACATTGGGCTAATAGAGATGGTGGAAGGAGGCTGGGATGTGCGAGTAGGTAGAAGATTCAGATGTCGCATTAACACAATCTAGCAAAATACACTAAAAGTTCTGTTGCTATTTATTAAGTAAGATATATATTCAGGGTAAAATTTATCAAAATCCCAATTTAGGCAATTTTCTTTCATTTATCATTTCTTGAGTTAGATGAGGTTTCATGTGGAGGAAGATTAAATGCACTCCATTAAAATGTTAAAAATTTCTTTCGTAAATTTCTTTTTTCAGCATCTTTGATGCAGAGGCATATGCATATGATGGGTATTACTATATGAAATTACTGTTTGTAGTTTGACTGTAGCCAGGAGGCCAACAATCTTTTTTTTTTAGTTACTTTGGGTTTAATATTTAATAACCACATGATTAGAAGAAGCATTTCATTACAGCATTAACATATTCAATAACAATTTCCAGAACAAAGATGCATCTCTTTCAAAACTGGTCATAAATTTTTAGGTTCACAGTTATATCAGTACAGTTATACAATATTGAACTCAGTATAAATCCTGTAAGACATAAAATTGAGTTTTTAACCTTTAAAAAAAGACCTCCAAGAAGGGTATAATATACACAGTTTCATACAGAAAAATTCATTTTTAATGCAATTGACATTAAGATGTTTGCACATGCATTTCTAATCTCTAAATATCTGATTATTACTAGTCACAGTTGGTTACTTTCTGAG